TGAGTATGGTTCCCTATATCCATTCTTGTGTATTTTGTTTCTCACTCTTTGAGAAGGGTTCATAGCGTCTGTTCGATCGTTTTATTCGTTATGCGGGCTGGGTAGTTCTTTTTCCAGAGTTCGTTCTTCCTTATGTATCATATTCAAGTTGTAGCTTGTTGGCGCATTGATGGCGTCATATGAGATTTTGGTCAGTGTTTGGGGTGGCTTACTGCAGCTTGTACTGGGTGAGACGAGATTTATTGGACCTGGGATCAGTGCGATCAGAGTTATGTAGGGTATATTAAAGAGCAAATATCTTTATTCAGTTCAGAATAAGGTAATGGTTCTTGTCAGGAGGAGAAACTCCATGATTTGTTGATTCGGCGGGTGGTTATGAGTTTCTACACATCCCTTTCGTCATGGCAGTGTTGCGAGAATTGGAACATGGCTTATATGTGTTATGAGGTGTATTGCGGGCACCGTGTTTGTGAAATTGCAGCTATTGTGGTCGGAGGATATTATTATGGTCAAGCGACTTGTATGGTGCATGGTGTGATTTCAACGGAGGAGCATGGTCATGTTGGGTACAGTGTCTGGTGCTTGATGCGGTGTTTGTATGTTAGAATCGGGTCTCATGGAAAATTTCGAATGTTGGAATTTGGTTCTAAAGCTTGTTAGTTAAGGTTATAGGAAGGATCTTCAGTCTCGCTCGAGACAATGTGCTCAACTAGGTTGTGGTGGCACGGGTAAGTGCACGAGATGTTAAATAGTGATTTTGGACAACTCCGGAGCAGATCTTGGCACGTTCGAGGACGAACATATGTTTAAGTGGGGGAGAATGTAACGACCCGACCAGTCGTTTTGATAGCTAGCGCGTCGTTCGGAGGTTTGAGGCCTTGAGTAGCCTCACTTCATGTTTTATGACTTGTACGTGTGGTCGAAATTGATTTTCGGGAAGTTCAGAGTTGATTCAGATGGAAAATTCGAATTTCGGAAGCTTTAAGTCGGAAGAATTGACTAAGGTTTGACTTTTGAGTAAACAACCTCGGAATCGAGATTTGAAGGTTCAAATAGGTTCGTATGATGATTTCGGACTTGGGCGTATGTTCGGGTTGAGTATCGGGTCGACCAGGAGCATTTTTGCGCTTATTGTGGAAAGTTGACATTTTGAAGGTTTTAGAATTTCCTAAGTTTGTTTTGAGGTGGACTTTGGTGATATCGATGTCCATTTGGGGTTCCGAGCCTTGGAATAGGTTCGTATCGTGATTTTTGACTTGTACGTAAAGTTTGGTGTCATTCCGAAATGTTTTGATATGATTCGGACGCGTTCATCAAAGTTTCAAAGTTTGAAAGTTTAAAGAAAGGTTTCGATTGTCGGTTCGTGGTTTTGATATAGTTTGGTGTGATTCGAGGCCTCGAGTAGGTTCATACCAGTTTTGCGACTTATTGGTGTTATTGGACGGGGTCTCGGGGGCCTCGGGTGTGATTCGGAGTGGCTTCGGTTCATTTTCCCTTTGCTTGTGATTGCTGGTTTCTGGTGTTTGAGTTTTTCATCGCGATCGCGTAGATAGACTCGCGATTGCGTAGTGTTTACTGGTAGCTAGCGAAGTTGTTCTTCGCGATCGCAGAGATGGGTTCGCGATCGCGGAAGGCGTTGGTCTGAGGCACGAAGGTTTAGCCTTCGCATTCGCGAAGCTGGGCTCGCGTTCGCGTAGGCTGATAAGGCAGAGGTTTGTAATTGCGTAGCTTTTGGTCGCGTTCGCGTAGAGGGGAAATTTGGGGCAGCTGAATTTGGCCTTCGCGATGGCGAAGGTATTCCCGCGATGGCGAAGGGGAGCAGACCTGGGCAGAATGAATTAAATGCGGGACTCGGCCCATTTCTCTCCCATTTTCATTTGGTTGGGCGATTTTCGGAGCTCTTGGAGGGAATATTTTCACCATCCATGTCGAGGTAAGTTATTCCCGCATATTGTAAGTTAATTACACGGATTATATAAGGATTTAACATGGAAATTAATGGAAAACTGTGAGATTTTGAAGAAAACCTAGAATTTGGTATATTTGGGATCTTGACTACGAAATTGGACATGGAATTGAGAATAAATCATATATTTGAGTTTGTAATGTTATGGGTAATGTTTATCTTTGAAAATTTTCTAAATCCGGGCACGTGAGACCGAGGATTGATTTTATTGACTTTTCGAGCGAAGTTGGAAATTATTATGAATTGATTTATTATGGGTATTAGAGTATATTTTTATTGGTTTGCATATTGTTTGACTAGTTTTGGAGCAACGGGCGCCGGTTTGAGGTGTTAGAGTGGCGTTGGAGCCAGTTATGGAACTTTGGAGCGGGTTAAGTCTCCTGTATAACTCTGTGAGTGGGAAACTACCCCTAGGTGATGTATTTGTTATGTGCTACTTGTTGCGGGGGCTACGTACGCACGAGGTGACGAGAGTCCGTACGTAGCTAGATTCATGTTATGTCCGGGTAGACTTAGGTTCCCATCATGCTATAGCTATACTATTTGAGTTATCCCTCGCCTATTAAATTCCTTTATTTTATGCTACGACTTGATACTAGACTTGCGTAGAGTAATAGACTTGCTATTGTAGAGATTTGACGAGCTTCATGATTTTGCCGCGGATTAGTTGTACTCCTCTTATGAATTTCTCCCGCGCTATGCGTTTTCATCGAAAGGTTTTCCTTTAAAATAAATTTATAACTCATACTTATTTGTGAGTAAGGTCAAGGACCCGTTAAAGCTTCTTACTCTAATGGGATCGGGCCGTTCGCTTCGGCAGGATTATGCACCACACTCTCATGGGAGCGAGTCATTCGCCTCGGCAGTATAATAGATGCATCTAAATTTCATGCCGTTCGACTCTCGGTAGTGCACACAGTATGATGGGATCAGGCCGCACGCCTCGGTATTTCTATAAGATACTCTTATGGAATCGTGCGTAATATTCGACAAGAAGCTAGTGTATCTGTGAGTTTTCCGTATTTGAGTTACGACGACCTATCTGGTGAGGTCCATTATATATATACTCCGGTTGAGGAGGTAACTGCTAATTGAGAGCTTGAGTTTATTGTTGAGAGGAGAATTGTACCCCGTATTTGTACTTGTTTATTTCGTTTGTTTACTCTGCCTCACATCTGTTTACTTTCTACTGCATTTGATTCATTGGACCACTAGTAAGTGTCGATGTCGATCCCTCATCACTACTTCTCCGAGGTTAGGCTAGATATTTACTGGGTACGCATTGATTTACGCACTCATACTACACTTCTGCACTTATTGTGCAGGTTTACATTTTTTGTGGTCTTTTGGGCGCAGAGGCGCAGCTATTACGGGGACTATACGGTGAGCAGCATTTTATATTACGATCTGCAGTATACAAAGTCTCCATCAGCGTTATTTATATTTTCCTGTCTAACCTGTATTCCAGACAGATGTTGTATTATTATTGTACTCCTTAGCAGATGCTCATGCACTTGTGACACCGGGTTTTGGGGGTTTCTACTGAATGTTCAGTAGGGTAGTTCACGTGATTATTATCCTTTTATCTTGTAAATTCTATTTCATACTATTTAATTATTGGAAATTATGATTTCAAAAGTAATAAAATGAGTAATTAGTTGATCAGTCATCGTTGGCTTGCCTGACGGCGCCATTAGGCTCCATCACGACCTATACTGGATTTTGGGTCGTGACAGCCGTACTAGACTCACCGAGCACCTAAAGTGCACGAAACTAATTATCACACTTATAATGGCCTCGCATTTATGGACTATCATCAAACTCGGATACTTAAATATACTCCCTCCGTCTCATATTATCAGTCGTAGTTACTAAAAATAGTTGTCTCAAATTATTTGTCACTTTAGAAGTTCAAGACAAAATTAATACTTTTTTATGTTTACCCTTAGTAATAATTATCCTTGAAGACTTCAAATACCTCAATTATGAATAACTTTGTTCAAATACCAATAAAGAAAGATTAAATATTAAGACATGAATAAGGGTAAAGTAGTTAAAATCCCATCCTTATTAATTTTTCTTAAAGCACGTGTACAAGAGAATCATGACAAATAAAATGAGACGAAGGGAGTATTAAAAAATTTGATAATATAAGCCCATTTTTCTTACACTACATTGTATTGGAATGTGCTGATGTGAAATTTATTTAGTTTTGAACTTTCCCACCTCAATATGGTGTGACTCTCTTGGTTGTATCAATTGACCATAGCAAGACATCCACTTCCAAATTAACTACTCCACCTTGATTGTCGGCACTGCTGATCTATCAATGTGATTTTAGACCCTTGAGGCTGAGATCGAGGTTTAAGACGACCAATGAGGCAATGACAATTGTATTTTATGATTTCTACTTTAGTGTAAAGGAAAAACTTAGTCTTTCTTGTCTTCATGCTTTGTAAACTTAGATCTAGAATTCCAAATAAGATATCGTAACCATTCACAATTTGCGAGAGCACGTCATTGATAAACTGCTAAAAGGAAAAGAAGGGCAGAGTAAATTCTTGGAAACAAAAAAGAATGAGATGGATTAAAATTTTTATGCTTAATCAAATGTTCTGTTTTCGAGTTAGAAAAATGTAAAACATCTTTTTTAGAAAACTCTTATGTGGCGTGCTGCAGAACAAAAATAGCCACATGGTTATTAAAAACTTGGGTAAGTAATTCTGTTCCTGTCAGAGTTGTAGACTTAACAGTATCTTAACAATTCTAAGGTACACGTGTACCTCGTGGGATGATGATTATTTTCTCGGGAGTAAGTAATAAGCATCTAAAGCCAATAACAATCTTCTATCAGTGCGCTAATCAAGAAACTAATTTATAATTAAGTAGAAAAGATTAATTCAAACTTAAAGGTGAGTGTGAGCATTTCTTTGGAAATGATTTTTAATTATTTTTTAAAAAAATTTCTGAATGTCAACGTCTAGCATCTAATTACTTCATTCTCAAAGATACCTGTTCACATCTCCTCATATATATATATATATATACATGACTTCTACTTGATATTTTCTGAATTTTATTACTTTATCTAAAGACTTTCTTATTCATCAGCTCAAGTTTAAAGCTAAGCAGGTAACTAATCCTCCTCCTCCTCTTCTTCTTCTTCATATGCAACAAATAAATCTTATTATTCTAACCTAATAATACGGTATGTACTTTGTTTCAGGGGAAGGAAGATGGCACAAATTCTGCTACATGGTACTCTTCATGCTACTATATTCGAGGTCGATAAAATCCATACTAATTTTGGCAAAGAACTTTTCAATAAGGTGCGTTCAAAACTATCCTTTCCTTTCCACACTTCAATTTAATTAGTATCAGTATGTCCATGAAAACATATGCGAGAGTAGTCAGTGGCAGAGCCAGAATTTTCAGCAAGAACAGTCAAAATATAAAAAGTAAACTCACAAAAAATACAAGGGTGTAGTATATATGCATAAAAAAAATTTACGCAGCTACACATTATAATTTTCCGACAAGGAGTGTTGGTGTGACTTCTCCACTGATAGTATTTTCATTTCTTTTGCCTTTATTGTTGGTTATGATCCGTTCAGTACACAAATAGAGGAAAATAATGCCACATTAATTTCTGCTTTGATTAGATCTATGGTTTCAGAAGAATACTGCACTGACTTCTTCTTAGTTGTGAGCGATAAGTTGTACAGTACACAAATTAGGAATTTGGAATTTGGTTCAAAGTGGTGGATTATTTCGGATCCGACCCAAGATATGGGTAATGGAAACAGTAGTTTGAAGAAAAAGGAGCAACCGTCTTTAGTTATAGACGACAAATAGGTCAGTTGCCTTACCTGACCAAGAAAGTTCCTACTCCATACTATGGACTTTATTGTACAAAATTATTTAAAAAGTTACTTAATATTTATTAACTTATTTTTTATAACTTAAACGTCGCTCAATTTTGACTAATTATCACATAAAGTCACAAGGAGAAAGAAAAGAAATATTGTCTATGACACTTACGGGTAAAATTGAATAACTTATTAGTTATTAAAAACAGGTTAATCAATAGCGTGATACTTAAGTGAAGTTAAATAATTCTTTTAATTAAAAAGAATGATTAAATAATTTTGAAGAGTGGGTCTTTAAGTTGAAAATAGACACTTATTAATATAAAGAACAGAAAAGAAAATAGTGTATGTACTCATGAGCTGTGGTAACACATCCACCACAATTTTTTTCCTAGATATTTTTGGCTTAGAATTACTTTAAGCTTGATTTAAAAACAAGAGCGCATCGAATTCTTTTTTCATATTGTGGCAGTCAAGTTTTCCGACCCTTCTTTCTTTATTTCTCTCTCTTTCTTATCTTTGTTTCTTTTTCACTTGTCTTTTTTTTTTTTTTTTTTTTTTTTTTTTTGTCTTTTCATTTACACATATGGGTTTGTCCCATTAATCTCCCCCTCAAACCCATATGCATCAGGAAAGAAAAATATAAAAAAAAAATTATTGTTCTCTGGTGGAGACTTCACATTATCGATCGTGAAGGCTAACTGAAGCAGTGCACAGCCTCAATTTGTCAACATCGACAACTTTGTTTAACATATCTGATGGATTCTTCGATCCCGATTCCTTCAAGAGCTTGACTTGCATCAGAAGGAGTATGTTGTCTATTATGAAAGCCAAAGTGCAATAGACTTGAGCAAGAACTCCACGTATCATGTAAGAACAAAGCATATCGATGTGAGATATCATTGGAATCGTGAGCAAGTGGAGAATGAATCTTTGCAGGTCAAGAAGATTCACACGAATGAAAATCCTACGGATATGTTGACCAAGAAAATACCAAGAGACAAGTTCGAGCTATACAAAAAACTTGTCGGCATGAAGTCTATATGAAAAACTAGAGATACCTCCTTTAGGTGTATGGGACTGGAGGGGGGCATAAAGTACCATGCTGCCAAATCTACAAGAAATGTGATTTAGGTTGTCGGATTTTCATTGCTTTCACAAGATGAAGCTTTGATATTTACATTATGATGATGTCATCCATGATGCAAGCAAGGAATATTGGACGTCTATAAATAGATAGCTCCTGACAAAAGTTGAGAACACACCATCAGAAAGAGAGAGAGAGAGAAGAGTGAGGCATAACAGACAGTGTATAAGAAAATAGTCTGTAAGGAAAATAGAGAGTGTGAGAGATACTGTAGTGAGGTGAAAATATTAAAAGAGGGTTATTTCTTTTGAGTGTTGTAGTGGTCTTTGGAGTATTTTACTCGGGCCTACAAAGATTAAAATTCCTTGCTATAATGATATCAGTTACTCCACTCGGGTAGTGATTTTTCTCTTATTCAGAAGGTTTAGCACGTAAAAATCTTGTTGTCCTTGTTTCTCTTATTATTGTCGTTGGTTACTGTATTTTTAGTAATCCGTATTTATTACAGTTGTATAGAGTGAATATAATTTTTGTGGGGGTTATTTTTTCCAACAACTAGTATCAGAGCACGTGTTATACTCGTTCATAGAAATACTCTTTACGGTCAGTAGTACTATATTCGGAAAAAAAAATGTCCGGAGGAAAGTACGAAGTAGTAAAATTCAATGGAGAGTAGCAATTTCTCAACATGGCAAAGAAGGATGAGGGATCTGCGCATCCAACAAGGATTACACAAGGTATTACCTATTAGATAGTGATGCCAAGAAGCATGATACCATGAAAGCTGAGGATTGGGCTGACTTCGATGAAAAGACTGCTAGTGCGATCAGGTTGCACTTATCAGATGATGTGCTGAATAACATCATTGATGAAGATACTGCATATGGCGCTTTGTTTTAAAAAGAACAATATTATCTTACAAGATTTTGCTGGTGAAAATTTAGGCGGCAATCTAGATAGTTGAAAAAGTACCACATGATACGTGTTTACCTTAGGTGGTACTGCTGTTAGATGGATGTCCAGACTGCAGAAAAGTGTTTCTCTATCTATCACTAAAGCAGAGTACACGACAATCTCAAAAGCTAGAAAATGGATGATTTGGTTCAAGAATTTTCTTAAAGAGCTAGGTAAAGAACATGACAATTGTGAGCTTTTCAGTGATAGCCGGAGTGCAATTCATCTTGCCAAGAATCCGGTGTTTCATGCAAGATCGAAGCATATCCAGTTGAGATATCATCATATCACAGAGTTGATAAGTGAAGGAACTCTTTTCCTACGGAAGATACCAGGATCGAATAATCCGTCAAATATTTTAACCAAAGTTGTTGGTGGTGACAAACTGAAGTTGTGCACTGCCTCAATTAGCCTTCAAGATTGATAATGCGAAGGTGCCACCAGAGAATAGCAACTCTTTTTTTATTTTTGTTTCTTGATGTATATGAGTTTGAGGTGGAAATTGATGGGACAAACCCATATGTATAAACGAAAAGTCAAAGAAAAAGAAAAAGACGAGTGAAAAAGAAACAAAGATAAGAAAAAAAGAGACATGAAGAAATAAGGATCAAAAAATTTGGGCTGCCACAATATGAAAGAAAGAATTCGGCGCGCAGTTTGCGGTGCCGTCTTATCCCGTATTCACATTTGCTGAAACTTTTTTTAGCAGACGTTATGCCTATAAATAGGCATCCCCTTCTTCAGTTGTAAACCTTTCTCACAACTTCTTCTTTCTCTCTAATTAATAAAGAGTTATTCGTTGTATGGCTTTGGAGAAGATAAAAATTGTTGAACCACGTAAATCTTGTCTTGTTTTGTACAGTTTATTGCTTTTTTCTTTTAATTATTTTTCTTCTTCTATTAGCCTGACACGCTTCACAATAGTAAGCGATAAGTTGGTTCATAGTTGTACACAAATGAGGATTTACGAATTTGGACGAAAAGTGGTGGATTATTTTCGACCCGACGCAGGGTATGGGTAACGAAAACAGTAGTTAGAAGAAAATGAAGGGAACCATTTTTTTCTAAGTTGTAGAAAGTGTTTTAACATGCGTTTTCGGGACGAGCCCCGGGGCGAGGCGCACCAAAACGCTCCGAGGCAATGGTGTGGGGCGAAAGTCTCATGAGGTGTACGCCCAACAATTCGGCGCGTATGCCCAGCCATTCGGGGCGTACGCCCGGGCGTTTTAGGTGTATTTTTTTAGTGAGGCGTAAGCCCCAAAGACTTTTTCAAGTTAAAACAAAATTTATTGAATAAGTCCTTCGTATAATACCCAAATTCTCAAAAATAAGCTTGGTAATTACTCAGAAGTTTTAAAAAGGAACTGAAATGTATTAAATTTCAAAGTCAAGACTTTTTTTATTGATTGAAGCCCTAGTTCATGGTCTTTTCCAATTCTTTATCTTATCCGTAGTCTGCTAATATCTCCCAAAAGCAACGAATATTCAATTTTTTTTTTACAAATACAAAGAGAACTCCATTCTCCTTCATAGCAGCAAGTTCAAAGTTCAAATTGCAGGTTAGTCATCCTGTTTGTCCATGTACAAAACTTTATTCTCTTAGACTCAAGTTACTTGTACTTATAAGTAGCGTATAATAGATTGTCTTGACTAGTTTTTTGTGAGGATGGAACACGCGCGCGCGCGCGCGCGCGCGCGCGCGCACACACACACACACACACACACACACACACACATATATATATATATATATATATATATATATATATAGTTTTCTTCAATTTTTATGCAATTTTACCTGTTTATAAATATTTACCGTAATTATATTATTTTATAAAATATTAAAAACTAAATACCTGTGGGGCTTACGCCTCGCGGAGGCATATATAAAATACTTCGCCTTACGCCCACGCCCATGCCTTTTAAAATACTGGTTGTAGACGACAAGTAGGTCAGTTACCTGAACAAGGATAAGGGGATGGGGGAGTTTGAGGATCGCGGGAATTCAATTATTGCAAAAATTGTGTGTGGTGGGGTTGTTGAAATTTAAGAAAGTTCCTACTCCATACTATGGATAATGGACTTTATGGAAACAAAATTATTTAAAAAGTTACTTAATATTTATTTACTTATTTTTTATAACTAAAATATCACTCAATTTTATCTAATTATCACATAAAATCACTAGGAGAAAGAAAAGAAATATTTTTTATGATACTTACAGGTAAAATTGAGTGACTTTTTTAGTCATAAAATATAGGTTAATCAATAGCGTGAACTTAAGTGAAGTTAAATAATTCTTTTAATTACAAATAATGATTAAATAATTTTAATATAATAAAGTAAAATTTATAATTATACGTGAAATTACTCTGATTCAGTTGAAGTCTCTTGTATGTACCATAATATTGAGGAGTGGGCTCTTTAAGTTGAAACTAGACACTTAGCCATAGATTTTGATTTTATTTTTAAAAAAAAATTGAAAACATTATTTGTTTATGAAATATGATTATGTCTTGGGAAAAAAAAAATTCAAGTTCCCAGCAGTTTTTGGTGAAAATTTTTCTTCCACTCATAAAACTTCTACTTTTCTTCAAATAAAATGCATGTCCACACAAAAATTCAACTTTCAAAAATTATTTTCAACTCAAAAAAAAAAAAAATTCAATCAAATCTATTTTCCAAACGCTAGGTAGCAATAAAAAAAAACACAAAAGAAAATTGTGGATGTACTCATGAGATGTGGTAGCACATCCACCACAACTTTGTTCCTAACCTTAAGCAAGATATTATTGGCTTAGAGATATTTTAAGCTTGATTTCAACTTTCAAGAGAGTAATCTTTGACTGAATTATACTAATATTAGGTAATCAATTTGTATCACTTTCGGGCCCCTTCTCCCACCCACTCCTTTTTATAGAGTTTAAATAAATTTTCAACTTATGCAATGCAATTTATTTTTAGAATTAGTTCTTTTATTAGATTATTATAGATAAATTTTTTCATAAATATTAATGGGTAATTTAATAAATGGAAGTATCATGGAGCGGTTGGAATATCATTGCTTACCAAGCTATTCAATGTTGTATTAAAGAGAGTAAAGATGCCACATAAGTAGAGAAATAGTACCTTCATTCTGATTTTGTAGACAAAGAATATGTTTAAAGGCAAACTATTACAGCAATAAGCTTATGATTCAACAGAAGATGCAAGTTGCACATATAAAGGATAAAAATAAGACGAGATTACTTGGGGTATGTTTGTATGATTTCCAATTTTCTATGTTTGGTTGGCTTAAATGTTATGAAAATATTTTCCATATGAACTCATTTTCCTTCAATTGGAGGAAAATATTTTCCTTATCAAGAGAGGGAAAACATTTTTCAAAACTCCTTCTCAACTTTCGCTACCCTCACCAACCCACCCCACTCCCTCTCTCCAAAAAAAGTTTTTTTTTTCTTCAAATTTCAGTTTTTCCGTTACCACCCNTTTCAGTTTTTTCGTTACCACCCACCCTACTACCCGTCCACCCCACCCCACCCCCACCCGCAAAAAAAATATTACTCTATTTTTTTACCTTATTTTTTTATTGCAATTTTAAATTTCTGTTTTTTCGTTTTTCTGCACCACCCTCCCCCACCCCTCCCCCCGTACATTTTTTTTAATATATGTTTCAGTTTTAGTTTTTTTATTTATCGGTTTAAAGGTTCAAAATTTTACAAGTTCCAAAGTTATGAGTTCGGAGGTTTATGTGTTTGGAAGTTTACGGGTTTAGAAATTATAAAGTTTACGGGTTAGAAATTCTGCGGTTTCGAAAGTTTAGCGGTTCGAAAGTTTATGAAAAATGTGGGTTCGGAAGGTTGTTGGTTTGAAAGTTATGGCTTCATGTTTATTATATCTAAATTATTAATGAATACTCTTGAGATGTCATTTTCCTTAATTTGCGTACCAAACACCGGAAAATGAATAAGATTACTACTTGTTTTTCAAGAAAATATTTTCTTGGAAAATATTTTTCGTTATACCAAACACACCCTTAGAGATATTTTTTGTCATGTCCTATATAGATCTTCAAGTGCATCGGTTTTTAGGTGTGTAACCATGACGATTGATGATATTAAAAGGGGACGAGGTTGACCTAAAATCACATCATACTACTAATTCCATGCAACTTGATACTGAAGTGTCGTTATTGAATGGGAAAGAAACCTCTTATGCAATATTTTTTGGCGAGAGTTTCTTTTTTTAAAATAAAGATTTTTTCTCTCTCTATCATTTCAAGTGTGATGAACGCACATTTACCACTATGTGGGATTATAACAGAGGCGGATCCAGGATTTTATGTTTATGGGTTCATGTCGCAATTTCAAATTAATATACGATAATAACTGGGTTCACAAATAGATATTTATAGATATTTAATAATATTTTTAACAAAAATACATGGTCTACGCAAAAGTTACTGGGTTCCCGGGAACCCGTATCTTACACCCTAGATCCGCCCCTGGATTATAATGGCTATGTAGTTATTATCTCTATCATTTCAAATGTGAAGTATAATATTTCTAATCCAAACCAATACTTGAATTCCGTCTTTCTTGCTTGTGAAATTTAAGATATTTTTTTTATTATATTTAGGTTATATTGCGGCCGTTGTTAAAACTTTGCAATAAAGAAAAAATCTTGCATACAAAATTCAAGAAATATGATGAACGCACATTCACCATGGATGCTTTAGCTTTTCAATTTGAAGGGGAAAAATACACTAAAATAGTCAATTCTGTAACACATATATTAGATGAATTGTTGCTATGAGTATTAATTTATTTATATATTTTCTTTGTATATTAAAATTATTATACTAAAGCAATTATTAAACTTTACTTATTTTGAGAATATCTTTATTGAACAAAATTATAGTTGATAATGTCACATTTGAAAATTCATTATGAAGACGTTTTTGCATTAGATTGTATCTTAAACTATGCAAGAAGAAGGTTAAGGGGGACTCCATAATCATTTAAATCCTAAGTTTGTCATATCTTGAGCTTTTGGCTATAGTGAAAGAACTTGATTATTCCAAAAATTGTCTATTCAAAAAAGAAAAAAATTTATTTAATCACCGGAAAACTATTGCACATGGAGGTTCCCTTTCCCATTCAAAACGTGAGGGGGGTATTGTTTCCCAATCCTTAAAGGTTAAGGGGACAAAGTGGATTTTACTCAATTTTCATGGATGGAGTACTATGTGGAAGGTTTATGATTTTCGTGCATAAGATTATCCAAAAATTTGAGAAAATTCATCTTAATTTTTAAAAATCTAATACTAAATTAAACACTTAATCTACAATAATTATTAAAGTTTAAATATCTTTTGATACTTCTTTAACATTTTACAGTTGGACATGTTACGAGACAGTAACAAGAAATCGTAGACTTCTTAGCAGTTCCATATTATAATTATACAATTTGACATGTTACGACACAGTAACAAGAAACTGTAGACTTCTTAGCAGTTCAGCATTATAATTATACGTTGTGACATATTACGAGACAGTAACAATAAATTGTATACTTCTTAGCAGTTCCATATTATAATTCTACAGCTTGAAATGTAATTATACAGTTTGAAACGTTACGAGACAGTAATAAGAAATTGTTGACTTCTTAGCAGTTCCATATTATAATTATACAGTTTGACATGTTACGAGACAGTAATAAGAAATTGTATACTTCTTAGCAGTTCCATATTATAACTATTATTTTTTGTAGGTGGTGCATGGCATTGAGGGAGCAATTGGCTTCAACAAGACAGCCTCAAGACTATATGCAACCATTGATCTTCAAAAAGCCAGAGTTGGCAGAACAAGATTGTTGGATGAACACAAAAATCCGCGGTGGTACGAGTCTTTCCACATTTACTGTGCTCATATGGCTGCAGATGTTATCTTCACTGTCAAAATTGATAATCCAATTGGAGCAGAACTCATTGGTAGAGCTTATTTGCCAGTTCAAGAACTACTAGATGGAGAAGAAGTTGATAAATGGCTTGAAATCCTCGATACAGAACGAAAACCTGTGCATGGACACTCTAAAATTCATGTGAAGTTGCAGTTTTTTGATGTCACAAGGGAATATAATTGGAATAGAGGGATTAAAGTCACAAGATTTCCTGGTGTTCCTTACACATTTTTTAGTCAAAGACAAGGATGCAAAGTCACACTTTACCAAGATTCTCATGTTCCTGATAACTTCATCCCGAAAATCCCTCTTGCCGGTGGAAAGTTTTACGAGCCACAACGATGCTGGGAAGACATATTCGATGCCATAACGAATGCAAAGCACTTGATTTACATAACAGGATGGTCTGTATATACTGAGATCACTTTGATAAGGGACACAAGGAGGCCTAAACCGGGTGGAGACTTAACGCTCGGGGAGTTGCTTAAGAAAAAAGCTAATGAAGGTGTGAGAGTTCTAATGCTGGTTTGGGATGACAGAACATCAGTTGGTCTGTTGAAACAAGATGGACTAATGGCTACTCATGACGAAGATACTGCTAATTTTTTCCGAGACACTGAAGTCAATTGTGTGTTGTGTCCTCGAAATCCTGATGATGGACGGAGCATTATTCAGAATATAGAAATCGGGACAATGTTCACTCATCATCAGAAGATTGTAGTTGTGGATGGTGAAATGCCTAATGGAGACAAGGAGAAGAGGAGAATTGTGAGTTATATTGGTGGGATTGATCTTTGTGATGGTAGATATGATACACAATTTCACTCCCTTTTTAGGACATTGAACACAGCACATCATGATGATTTTCACCAAGCAAATTTCACTGGTGCATCAATACAAAAAGGGGGACCAAGAGAGCCTTGGCACGATATACATTGTCGATTAGAAGGGCCAGTTGCTTGGGATGTACTCTACAATTTTGAACAGAGGTGGAGGAAGCAAGGAGGAAAGGACTTGCTTATAAACCTAAGGGATATCGACAACATTATCACTCCACCTTCACCTGTGATGTATTCAGACGATCATGACACGTGGAATGTTCAAGTTTTTCGATCAATTGATGGGGGAGCAGCTTTCGGCTTCCCTAATGTTCCTGAGGAGGCAGCAAAGTCTGGCCTTATAAGTGGAAAGGACAACATCATTGATCGAAGCATACAGGACGCGTATATTAATGCCATTCGTCGAGCAAAGCATTTCATCTACATCGAAAACCAGTACTTCTTAGGTAGCTCTTTTTCGTGGTACTCTAATGATATCAAGGATGAAGAGATCAATGCTTTGCACTTGATCCCAAAAGAGCTGTCTTTGAAGATAGTGAGCAAAATCGAAGCAGGGGAAAGGTTTACGGTTTATGTTGTGCTTCCAATGTGGCCAGAAGGACTTCCTGAGAGTGGATCTGTACAAGCAATACTGGATTGGCAGAGGAGGACTATGCGAATGATGTACACCGATATAATTCAAGCTCTAAAAGTAAAGGGAATTGTAGCAAATCCAAAGGAATACTTGAGTTTCTTTTGTCTTGGCAATAGGGAAACAAAGAAGGGAGGAGAATATGAGCCTTCTGAGACACCAGAACCAGATACGGACTATCGTAGAGCTCAAGAAGCAAGGCGTTTCATGATTTACGTCCATGCCAAAATGATGATAGGTAAGTTTAATTCTTTAATTAGTTGAACAATATTATCAAAGGCACGCTTAAAGCGCGCTTAAGCCCTAAACCGAGGCTCAAAACATGTTGAGCACTTCGGCTCGCTTAGCGGGCGCTCCAGTGTTGTCATCAAGTCTCTAAGGCATACTTTTCCTTGCTAATGAGCGTAATCCGGAAGACGCGATACTAAGCAATTGATATTTCACTTTATCGTAAATTCTCTTCAATTTCTTTCTCCATATATTTGATGTTCATGCTTATAGATATTAGTCTTGACTACACATATATATTTGTAGTTTTTCTCCATTTGCGCCTTTCTTCGTTAAAGTCGATGCTTTATTTGCGCTTTGCGCTTAAAGCTCCAACAGACCTTAGAGCTTTTTTGCGCTTTTCGCCTTCGATAATACTGCAGTTGAAGTTAGAAAACATTGAGATATATTAACATTAAGTTCTCAATTGTTGTTTTTGTGTGTTCATTTTTTGCAGTGGATGATGAATACATTATCATTGGATCAGCAAACATAAACCAAAGGTCAATGGATGGAGCAAGAGATTCAGAAATAGCAATGGGAGCTTACCAACCATTTCATTTATCAGTAAAGGAGCCAGCTAGGGGTCAAGTTCATGGCTTCAGAATGGCATTGTGGTATGAACACTTGGGCATGTTAGATAACAGTTTTCTTTATCCAGAGAGCCCCGAATGCATCCGAAAAGTGAACCAAGTTGCTGACAAATACTGGGATATGTATTCAAGTGAGAGCCTGGTTCATGATTTGCCTGGCCACTTGCTTACTTACCCTATTGCTGTCACTGAAAATGGAGAGGTCACTGAACTACCTGGAACAGAATACTTCCCTGACACCAAGGCTCGAGTTCTCGGTACCAGATCTGATTTTCTTCCTCCCATTCTCACTACTTAATAAGCTCACTGGGTTCGAGCTCTGAGAATGAAGTACTCTTTGGTAGGGAACGCTAAAACCCCTATAGGGAGCTTTCTATGGCACGAATCCACATTAATCGAACGAGTGAACTTCGAACATAGGATGATTATACCATAAAAAGAAACAAAAAGGTGCTACTATATTTTTTAGCATACACAGCAGTTTATGTAGTTTCATTACCGGTTACCAACTTGCCACTACTTCTTGTACTTTCTGCTGATGATGTTACTGTCAAACCAATTGAGTGTTACTAGTTTATTGAGATAACTTCTGAATCCTAAGGTTGTTCAAGAATTGCGTTTCAGTTTACAAGAGAATAATTATGTAACTATTTTATCCATGTGGATGAAACTCTTGAAATTTTATTCTTTTGTTAGACTCCAATTTTAAGTTAAAAATTCTATTGCTGGAAGAAAATTTAATATTTTTTCCATATTATTCAATGAGAGGTGATAAGCTTTCTCATTGAAAGGATTTGATTATCCATCTTGGTTTTTTGACATCGACTCAGTTGCTAGGAAGAATGTTACCTAAATGCCCAATTGCTCATACCTTGTTTGGAGTTGGAGACGACCTTTCCAACAAGTTGCACAGCGTCTTATTAAACGCCTAAGCTAGCATTGATATCGTGTGAGACTCAAAAATAGTCACATTTACAAGTGATAGTTGAAAAATAAAAGTAATCGAAACTTAGCTACTTTTCATGTAAAGATAAATCTGAACAAAAATACTGTTCAAAATCCGAAAAATATTCCAGCATAATTGATGATAGGCTATAATTACGTATTTTCGTCGCTTATTACACTCAAATTTACTGCACTTTAATTGAGTTTGAGCTTTAATCGCTAGTGTCTTGCACTAATTGTGTGTTTTATGCCTTGTAGGAGTGATTCCGAGCTATGTAGATGTTATGGAATGAATTCAAGTGATTTGGAGCTTTGAAGTCTGAGTAAAAGCTCAAGGAATTAAGCCGGGATCGTGTTCGGGGGTCAACGGATGATAGTTGGAACAAACGAAGAATCGAGTATGCATATTGCTCACTGTCTAGTAAAATGCACATAACTTTTTTCTCAGAACTCCATTTGGGCTCCACAATATATGGTTGGAAATCAAACTCAAAGGGCTACAACCTTCATGTTTTACGTTTTTCCAAATTCCAAACAGAACAGGGTGAAAAGTGCGCATCAATAGCGCGGCCGCGCTAAGGCCGCGCTCGTCAGGCATAATCAAAGTCGATATGCGCGGTCTGAGCGCGGTCCAAGCGCGGCCGCGCACGTCCTGTCCGGAAAATGTGTCCTTTTTCGCATAGGAGAAGCTGTAATTGTTTGGGCCCAACCCTACTTGGTATATATACATGGAAATACGGTAGTTTTAGGGGTTGGACAGATTTGAGACACAGATTCGACCTAAGGAGGCAGAAACCCAATAGGAGCAAGGCGGGGAATTCTTCTAAGAGTTTTTCCTTCCTCTTCCTATTTTTCATTGTTGGTTATGACTTTTAGTATTGTAGTTTTACATACTATTATGAATAGCTAATTTGTTATCTAGGGTTTTGATGGAACATTTTGAAAGATAAATTCTTGTTATGTTTTTATATAATTGAGCCGTAGTATTTTCTCTATTTGTTCAACTATATTATTCTTGTGGTTGATTGAAGGGGCCTCAATTAGCTATGCTTATTTAGTATGTATTACTCGGGAGAGAGTGCATATTTAGGTAGTTGTTGAACAACATCACTCCCGATATATGTGAGGAATCAATAACCAAGGGTTTAAAGGTGGGATTAGGGATAACGAAACCTTGGGCGCGATCTAAGTGAGTTGTAATTAAAGCCAGCTAGCGTAACTCGGGAGAGTATGTCTAGTAAATTATCGTAATTACTTGGGAGAGAATTACAACACACAGAGCGCTCATGGCCGGTAAAGAATACTTAGCCGAAATTATAGAAGACATAGCGGGAAGGATTCCGACAATTGGGGAAATCATAACTCTAGACCTCCTTAATCTTTTCTCAACCTGTAGTATCTTTAGTGTTAATTTATTAATTTAATTTGTTAGTTAGTTAGTTAAACACAAGAATCTTAATATCTATAAGGAATTGTTCAAGCTTGTATTCTCGGTGATAGTGAACAAATGTAGTTAAGCCTTAGTTCTCTATGGGATTCGACTCCGGACTTGTAAACCGGATTATATTTGCAACGACCGCTTAGTCCTTTTTATAAGGCATAGTTGGGCGTGATCAAATTTTGGCGCCGTTGCCGGGGAACTAACGGTGTAGTTGTAGCTGTATATATTACTAGGTTTCGAGTTTGAACTTTTATTTTGTTTTTGTTTTTTCTTTTTTTTTTTGTATTTTTATTTTATTTTATTATAACTGATGATTTGCGAAACATGACATGTTGGAATTATGGGAATTTAGGTGTAGATAGTTCTACTATTGATCCTCATACATATTGTGAAGGAAACCACCCGTATAAAAATTATCAAAATATTTCCGAGAGCGAGTTATGTGCACCAACTCAATCTTATTTGTGAAATGTGTGTGATGTGTGCGGTGGTAAAAATGGTCACTTTCATGGTTGTGCTTATATTTCTTACCTTCCCCCAACCCCTTACTATGATGGTTCTACCTTTTCTTGTGAAGTTAACAGGAACAAAGAACCCGGGGATGCAGACCTGAAGGAGATCAAGGATATTTTAATGTGCCTTCTTAAACAAAATAATGAAAAACAATTGCAAATAGAAAGGCAAGAGGCAAGTATTCGCAAGTTGGAGGCTCAATTGAGTCAAGTGGTTGGAGTTTTTAATGCTCAACAAGCCAATATTGAGGATAGTAGCCAAAAAGAGCATGAATTTGAGGTGTTAATTGGGGAGGTCAGAGTAGAACATCAACAATCTAGCCAACTACGATTTGAGGATGTCAATGTTGAAGAAGTGAGACTAGAGCCAGCCAAGGACTTTGAGGATGTAAATTTTGTTGACTCTAGTATCATTGATGTTGAGGATGTTGAAAGTCCAGAAGTTCATGTGTTTGAGCGCATTGGTCCACACTCCAAGCATTTTTCCACATTATGTTTGGATGATGATATGGAAATAGAGTCATCCGAACCAATTGAAGAGTCAAGGAATAAGGAACAAGGTGCATATATTCTGGAATTCTTATTGCCAAAAAAGTCAAGATTACATACCTCATACAAAGGCCAACGAGTGCAGACTACTACATTATTTTCTTGGGTCAGTTAGATTTGTTCCACCGCTCCATGACCATAATCATAAGCTTGAATCAAAACTTGAGGTTCAATTCATAAGTTCGAAATGGAGGCAGAAAGTAATTCATGTCGTGCCGCGACGTTAAATCAAGCGCTTGTTGGGAGGCAACCCAGCTTTACTGCTTTCTTTTATTATTTTTTAATTTTTATTTTAATTGTATTATTTTTGTAGTGTCAATTTTTAATTTTCTAGGAGCATGGAAAGCAAAGATATTGGAAGGATGCAACAGCAAACCAGATGGTTGGAACTAAGTGTGAGGTACCCGCACGGAGGACCAAGCCTGGGAGAAGTCTGAGTACCCCATGAGATGCTAGTGCTTCGGCCTTTGGCCTACCAGGGAGTTCCTTTTACCCTTTTGTATGTATGGGTGTGCATTTGGGACAATGCACAATTTTAAGTGTGGGGTGAGGAGATTGTCTGGGTGGCTTTCTATGCTATTTTAGTTGTGTTAGTTTAATTGAATAATTTTTTTTAAATAGAAAAGATTGGACTTTTCACGACGATGGATCTATTAGACAATTTTCTTGAGGGATTTAAGTCTAAAGAAAAAAAAAATTTGTTAGGTAGTGTAGCAATTCCCCTTTGGTTTTTCTTTGTGCCGCGGCTCTTTTCCAAGGGTTTTATTTGCACCGGGTGTAGTTAGTCTTTTTTTTAGGAATAGGAGCCATTGTGTTGTGTTTTGAAATGAAGCAATATCTCTTGACTTTGTTTTGCCTTGAGAATAGTAAGTACTTTGGTTGTGAAGCTTAGGCTCAGTTTTTGACTCTTGTATAAGTACCTTAAATTGTATGATTTTAACTTTGCTTAACTGCTTTGACTAGAGCGTCTTGATGAATCCAATCCTGAGTGAGTTATGTGCCATGTGTGTGTGAGGTTTGGGTGTTATTCTGTGCATTGCATTTGATGTCTAGAACTTGCCCCGTGTGTTTGCAAAGCGAAATAGTAGTTTTGTTCAGTCTTGGAAGTGACATAGGCGTTTCTTTGTTGAGCCAGATATGTATATTTTACCCGCCTAATTGTTATGTATCGTAGTTAACCCTTTTGATCCTGTAATCTTGTTTCTTTGGCAACCACATTACAAGCCTTACTCATTTGTTTGAATTAACTATCTATTTGAAACTTCTAACCTCATGAGCACTTGAATTGTTATGAGTTGTGTAAATGTTAAAGTGTGGGGTGGTTGGTTTGGATCATGAATGAACTAATAAAATAAGGAGAAAGGTGCACTATTTTGAAAAAGTAAGAGCCACATGAATTTAAAAAAAGGGGAAAATGTTATATTGTTGTGAAAAAAATCCTTGATAAGTGGTGACTATTGATGTAATTGTGCTTGTGCTTAAAGAAGTATGGGGTAAAATACATTGATGTGAAGGCGGAGTTTGGTTTGACATAAGTATGGGATTTGAATGTTAAAGTATATGTATTAAAGTGCTTAGGGAGGTGTAGTCACTCTTATATCTAAATGTATCCTACCCGTCCCGCAGCCTACATTACAACCAAATAAAGTCCTACTTGTTCCTAGACTGAATGAGCTCGATTAGAAGAGTAATACACTACGGGCAAGCCTATGGTGCATCTTTTGTGGCATATGAATGTTATTTCTTAGAGTGAGTGAATTCTTTCTATCTTGAGTTCCTAAGTGCTCTTAAATTTTATTGTGTGAAACTACTCTCTTTTGTTGTGTGCGGGCACTTGATTCATGAAGGAAAGGTAATGTCAGTGATCTCTATGTTAGAGTAAGTGGGTGAGTTGTGAATAATGCGTGGTACTTGTGAGTCAAATCTTGAGGTGAAGATGTTACGCTTTTGTGCTTAGTCTATTTTAAATAATCTTGGTGTGATGAGTTAGGAGAATTGTTTAAAAAAAGGTCGTGTCTATATAAAGTGTAGTTTGATTGCTCGAGGACGAGCAATGGTTTAAGTGTAGGGCTAGTGACTATGCAGCACCCATCACTGTTGCCCCGACTGGGAGCAACTATTCGAACTCATGTGTGACGCTAGTGACTATGCAGTGGGGGCAGTGCTGGGACAGTGCTGGGACAGCGGAAAGACAAGCTAATGCGCCCAATTTACTATGCCAGTAGAACGTTGAGTGGAGCTCAGCTGAACTACACC